CGCTGCAGAGGCTATGGGCAGCCTCGCAGCCCAGAGCTCAACCGCTGCACCACCAGGAGAGGCCCAGTAGAGCTGCCTGTTCTGCTCTCCACGCTGTCTCTGGTGAATCCTCTCACCCCGTGCATGTCTGGCGTACACCCCAGTTCTTGTATGCATAAATAGATAAAATAAATCTCTAAAAATAATAATAATGCCTACTCATACTGTGGGCGCAGATTTGGACAGCAGCTGTGACCGTCTCTAGGGAGGTAAATGGTGGAGGGGCTTGTCCACGGCCCTGCCTTCTGTGCTATGTATTTGTACTATGTACATGTACTACTCTTAGTCTGGCTTCATCACATTACTTAATGAAACCTGGTTCCTGCCAATAGGCTAGCCAACTTATCCATCCCAGGTGAAGCGGAAGATCTTCTCCACCATCAACACAAGAGACTGGCCTCCTGTCCAGCCTGGACACCAGGGATACTGTAAAGCAAGGAAATTCTTTTCACATGAGCACCAGTCTTGCTGGGTGCTGTGCTGGCACTAATCATACAAGGGGACAAAAGATGCCATTCCCATAGGGAGGTTACACACTCCCAGACTCCAATGCCAGCCAGTCCTTCCCAGCCTCAGAGCAGACTGTAGCTTTCTAGACCATTCTGCTCTTTTCCTCGTTAACCACCAAGCCCTTGTGATTAAATGGCTTCTTCCAAGAGGTTAGTGCACACTCATCCTTGGTAAGCTGGAGACACAATGACAAAGGAAGGAGGTTCAAGTCCCTCTAAAACTGAGCCCTGAAATACCAGTGAAACACATTTTATTACATCCTCAAAGGGACGGAATCCAGATTGAATGAGCTCAGTTATGGGAAATGCCTAGTATAATAACCAACACACAGCAGCTGTCCAATAAATGTCAGACACATCACCATCATCATCACCATCATCATCAGTTATTAACTGGTTCTCACTGAGAAGGGGTGATGCTTTCAAATGTCCCCAGCTGATACATTTCCAGCTCTTACTGAGGACCTGCTTACAAGCAGTACAGGATGATAGAAAAGGTGGGCTGTTGAGTCAGAGAGGCTTTATCTTGAACATGTTCTTCACAACAGTTTCTTTGGCTCTAAGCTAAGGATAATGATACCACCTCGCTGGACCAGGGTGAGGATGAGAGGTGATACACAAGAAGCGCCCTACAACCGTTCTCTCTATCCTGGCTGTTCTCACTTTATTCTAAGGGGACATCTCTATTCACTGGCCAACACATGCCTTATCCTCTTCTGCCTCCATATTTCTAATCTGTCCAGTTACGCCTGCCTACCCTGCCCTCTGTTACCATCTCCAGCTCTGGAAACTTCCATGCTGCTTTCTAGTCTCCATTCCATCCGAGAGCTGCTGTGAAGCTTTCATTGACCACAATGGCTTTTCCTACCTCTGAACTCATAAAGTATTTAGCTTGTGTGGGGAAATGGGAGGATCCCGAGATCTCTCCTCTGACCACGGTTAGCCCTGTGAGAGAAGAAAACGTCTGCCAGTAATGGGTAGAAAGAACTCCAGTCACACATGGCCAGGGAGCAGTTTCCCAGGGAACTTTCTCCCCAGAAACAAGTGAGTCTCCAGCTTCCTTAACTACGATCTTCCGGTCGTGTAGGAGGGCTGACTTTCCTTTCAAAAGTCAGTGCCCGCTGCTTTACCCAGGAGTGTCTCAGAACAGAAAGTGGTCAACTTGTTCACTGACACATGCCGGGGCTTCTAGCGTGTGGACAGACGGCCTGCCCCGGAACATCAGCTGACGTGCTATGAGCAGCTGCTGCTTCCATGTCCCCGTGGGCCTGACTCCAGATTGAGCCTCTGCAGTGCTGCAGGTTCTGAGCAGAGAGGCCAGAGGACACAGCCAACTCCTCAGACGGCACCCAGGACACTCACTGTCAGGCCCTGACTCCCCATGCGGGCTTTTCTTTTGTGACAGCCTCTCCACACGGCTTGCCTGTCCCCAAGCCTACTTCCGCCATTCCTGTCTCCTACTCTCCCCTCTCCTTGAAATGTGCTTCTTCAATGTCTTTGCCTAACGAATGCCACTCATGCTTTAGAGCCAGCTCAGAGGCTGCCCTTTCTGTAAACACCCTGCCACCTCTTGCAGAGTTCATGGCCGTGTCCTCACTGGCCCTCTGTTGTTGAACTTCTCACATAGTCAGCACTGCCATATGCTCACTCTTCTCTCCCCAGTGAGACCTGAGCATGAGAGGTCAAGAATGACTTTTATAACCTCTGGTCTGCCCAGCAAGGTGTCTAATAACCAACTGTCTTTGTTTAATGAGTTGAAGACTAAGACAGGATCAAATGAATAAACGATGCTGCTTCTAACAAAGATACCATCCTTCCCAGCCTGCCCTTGCAAGTAGCACCTGGAGATTACTCTAGGTGGGAGTGGGTTGGGGAGGAGCCACACATTGCAACAGACCTAAGTGTGAAAAGGTGGGCACTTGTGTGGGTGGGAGAGGGACATGCTGTGCTGAAAACAACAATCCCCCAAAAAAACATTAAACCACAGGGAACATTCATTTCTGTATGTCTTAGACTGCTGTACTCCTGCACAGGTCTAATTTCCAAAGACATATGTTGCAATAGTTTATAAAATTATTCTACTTAATGTTTAACCTACTAAGTAGCTATAATCCCAAACCTGAAAAATGCCATAGCCAGTACCTGCAGTTGCTCGTTGAAGCACTATCCTCAGGATTTTTCCCTCTGGAAATTATTGAGCAATCCATTTGCACCTTCAGGCCTGGCACTCGTGACACAGATTCCTGCCCACCTGTTTATTTTCTGGCTAATTTGGTTCCTTTATGTCATATGAACTTGAGTGACCCATATGAAGTAGGGGAATCATCCTGCTAAGAATTCTCTAGAAGGTCCATGGAAGCATCCTAAGCAAAAAATATACATGTATATTTTATCTATCTCTCTATCTATCTACATATATCAATTTTTAAATCCATGCAAAATGAGTACATATTATGTGCCCAGGAAAGCCTGGAATCCTGTTTTTTTAAAGTTAACCAGGGCCTCCCCGATGGCGCAGCGGTTGAGCGCTGGGCTGTAAAGCTGCCCGCAGCCTCCACAGCGCCGATTCGATCCCCGGCGAGGGTCCCACATGGAGCACAGACCTCTCCTGCCGCCCGCTGCTCCCCTCAGCAGTGTACTTTGGTCCTTCTGCCTGTCCTGCTCCCCACTCTGGCTCTGGTGAATTCTCTCACCCTCCCGTGCTTCTGACTGTACCCAGTGCGTGTATAAATAAATAAACAAATCTTTAAAAATAAATAAATAAATAAAAATTAGCCAAAGAGCTTCTTGATTTTTGCCATTTTCTGTAGGAAAATGTCTCACCTACTCCATTCTTTCCTATGCATGCCATGGCAGGACATTTAGGAGTCAGAGAAAGACACTTAAACTTGCCTACACTGTTTAGTTCATGTTTGCTCACTGCTCTGTGCAGACCAAGAGCAGTGCTAACGCCTTTACATGCCTTATGTAACTCCCCCAAACTCTGGTGGGCTTTAACTCCAGTTCTACGTATAAGGAGCCTAAAGTGCAGAGAGACTGATCATATACCCAAGATCTCATGGCTTCCTGGGAGCCAAAGCACAGTTTGAGGTCAAGGCCACTGGCTCCTGAGTCTGAAAGTGTAAATGTCACTCTGGGCTTCAGGGATAGTCCTTGATTTCTTGTTTAGCAGTTTGTCAAATATGTATAGTTCCTAGACAGCTCTCATAAGCTCTTATTCCTTTTGATAATTTGTACCACTACAATTTCTTCTCTGTTTTAAAAAAAAAAAAGTAATTAGTATTCAAAAAATATGGTTCAAGTATTCATCATGTACAGACACAGACCTTTTCCAGCTTTAAGTCCCATTGGAAAACAAGACATTCTGTGTCCTCGTGACCCACATTTTTAGATTCTGGTATAAATGTGCAAATGGCCATCCCTTTGGTTGCTCCCAACATTTGTATTCTATGTTCAACAGCCAAGCGGATGTGTTTCCCAAAGTTGCGCATGTGGTCTGCAAGCGCCGCCGAGTAAGCATGTCCCCTGCATGAGACAGTGCTGGGCAGCACGTGGGACCAGGGAGGAAGACACAGCTCTGGCTCTGCAGGATCTCACAGCCCTTTGAGGAATTCGGGGCCCCCGGACAGCTCATAACATTAGGTCCATCAATACCCACAAGATAAGAATTTCAGAAGAAAAAGAAGTCCTAAACACCTTGGAATATATCAACTACCTTTATTGAGAAAGGCTCTCAAAGACCAATTTCTCACCTCCTGCCTCTTTCAACAGTGCTCATTGGCCAGTATTGGGACTTTAGCCCAGTGGTGAAGCTATGGTGGAAGAAGCCACAGGCTAATTGCCAAGGACAGAGTTAAAGACATGTGGGAGTTGTCCTGAGCACCCACCAGCATGACTGAGCATTAAATGTTATTTCCAATGAGGAATATCAAGCGACAGGAAGTTGAGGCAGTGAGTTCCCCTTCTGCCTTCTGAAGGGCACCTTCTGGAGGTGCCCTTCTGCCTCTCCACCTGGTCCCTGGCTCCCTCAAAAGAGAATTCTTTGCATTTATAATAAGTGAGCTGGTGATGCCTTCAGCCTCTGGGCTGCTCAGGGCTATGTTAGGGGGCCTATCTCCGAAGCACGGCCCCAGGGATGGGTCAGAAGAGCGGACAATGGGGAGTTAAGTCAGCAAGAACTGCTGCTGTCCTGGCCAGCTCAGGCTGTGGACTGGAAGGAAAACCTGGGAGGACTATCAAGGTGGGGGAGCCAGGCCCACCCCACTGACAGCTTACCTCACAACTGTGCGAGGCACTACCCATCTTTTAAGGAAAAGCAAAGTATGTGCTGAGTGTGGGTAGGAGGCAGATAGAGATTCTGGAAAATTCCAAGGAGCTTTTAAATACCAGGAAGTGGGTGGGCCCAGCTGCACTTCAGGGCGTCTGTGCCGCCATGCTGGGGCAGGTGCTATTCTGTGGGGTGCTGAGTGGTTAGGGTTTAGGGTGCCTCGGGTGAGAAGCGCAGCATTTAAATGTCTGCCTCCCTAAACCACTCACCCTGCATTTCAGAGCAGCACCCACTGGTGTGCACCCTTCAAGGCAGCACATCCAGCTATTTCGTTCCTGATTCGTGACACACTTCCCAAGTAATGAATGGTCCATTAAATTAAGTTTGGGCGTCTCGTCTCTCTCGCCACAGCCACCTCCTAGTCCGCACCGTCAGCTGGGGAGGCCCTTAAGGCGGGCTGCAGCCTGCCAGCCTTCACCCCCCTCCTGCGCCACCTCTCCGGCTCGCCTCCCTCGCCCGCCCCTCCCCCAGGTTATTTGGGAGATTAGAGTTCATTAATTAAATCCTGTGCTCAGATCGAACTGTAACATTATTCCAATCACATTTATCTTGCAGGCGGCAGCGGAGGAGGTGGGAGCCTCGCTGGAAACGCGCGGGGGAGCCGAGCCCGCGGCCGGAGACGCACAGCGCGGCGCGCTCCATCGCCACGCCGCGCGCAGACCCTCCATCTTCCCCTCGGCCTCCCCAGCTCGCCGCGCCCGCCTCGGGGGTCCTGCTTCTCTGGGGCTCCCGCCGCCCCACCCCACCCCTCCACCCCCCACCCCCGGCCCTGCGCCTGGCCGCCCTCCCCCTCCACACACGCTGACACGCGCGCACGAACACACACACGCGCGCACACACGCGCGCACACACACTAACACGCCAGCGAGCTGCTGGCTGCTCAATGGACCGATTTCCCCGCTTCCCCTGATCCCAGCCTGGCCCGGAATGAAAAATTGCAAAATGGCCCGGGTCGCCAGTGTGCTGGGGCTGGTCATGCTCAGCGTCGCTCTGCTGATTTTATCGCTCATCAGCTACGTGTCCCTGAAAAAGGAGAACATCTTCACCACTCCCAAGTACGCCAGCCGGGGGGCGCCCCGAATGTACATGTTCCACGCGGGATTCCGGTGAGTGCGGCCTCTGTTTGGGCGCCCCGGGTGATCTGGGTTATGGGAGGGGGGAGCGAGGAGGTTGTTTTGGCTTCGGGGAGACACTTGGGGCGAGAGAACTGCGTGGCGCTTCCACACCTTTGACTCTCCCTCCCCCTGTTCTCGCGCGCCCCCCACCCCCGTGCATATTTGGTCCTGAATCCAAAGCCCCTAAAAGCCTTTGGGCCCAGGGATGCGATTCCCTTTCCTCGTAGTCTTCCTCGGCACCCCTTCCCCTAGCTCGGAACTAGGAGGAGGGCTGCAGGAGGGCGGCCGGGTGGGGCGAGGCAGTGAGTGTGTCCGGGAGGGGCGGCGAAGGCGAACCTGGACCCGGGGCCCGGCCGGGGCGTGAGCGCCTCCGCCCTGTCCTGGCCGCAGACTCGGCGCCTGGCGCTCGGAGCGGTCCAGGGGCGATTTAATGGCGCAGGCGCCGGACTTCCCTCGCGGTCCTCTCCTCTCTCTCCCCTCCCAGCGCCCCCCCAACCCACACCCCATCAAATGATGCGCGGGTCTCTGCTCACAAAGTCCCGTGGGTATTCTACCTTGATCCTTCCTCCCAACACCACCCCCAACCCCCACTTTCCGGGATTTCTGCAATTCCCCCGCCCTCTGCGGGAAGCGAGCCTCTCCAGGGCCGCCTACCCGCGCCCCTGGTCGAAGGCGCCTGGCACAGCTAGACGCGCCTCATCCGGAGGCCCTCCCCCTACCTGTGACCCCTGGAGGCTCTCCCCGCCCCCCACCCACCCGGCTGGGCCTCCTGAGGGGCGGGTGGCGGATATAAACTGCAGCTGGTGGTCAAAGCCAGGCCGGAGGGGTGGACCCTGGAGTATCCCCACCTGGGCAGAAGAGCAGAGCTGGCTGGCGGCCTCGGGGGTCCCCACCCCGGCAAGGAATGGGGAGTGAAATTCGACTTAGGCTCGGGGAGGAAGAGGTTAAGGCTGGAGCTGTTCTCAGCCTTCCCCTGGGTCTCGGGTTTCCTGTGCCCTGCTCCAAAAATCAATCACCCGACCGAGGGGCCTGCAGGGTCCGGCTCCAAGGCCTGGCGCTGTCCGCGGTGCTGACTCGCGGCCCTCGCCGCGCTCCGGGCTCCGGCTGTGCCCCCGGGCTCCCGGCCCTGCTCCGGGCGAGACGGCCATTTTATGGTCTCTCCCGCACCGGAGGGGTGGACAATGGAGACATATTTCCCTAGTTTTCTTCCTTCCTCCAGGGTGTGTGTGTGGGGAACTGAGGGTGGACTAAATGAGCGGGGGATCTGGGGTGGGATGAGGCCGGCACGTGTGCCAGCTGCCTTCTCCTCCCCACCCCCAGCGGGTTGGACTTTAATGGCTACTTTGGCTTCCCCCAGCTGAGGCCAGCACGTTTGTCTGTACTCACGGTCCTCTCCAGGTCACAATTTGCACTGAAGTTTCTAGATCCGTCATTTGTGCCCATTACGAATTCTCTGACCCAGGAACTCCAAGAGAAACCTTCTAAGTGGACATTTAATCGGACAGCGTTTTTACATCAAAGGTAGGATAGGCAACCCCAGATCAGTCATTACACCTTCCATCTTGGTGGGATTATGACACTGCTAAAGGGAATGTGAGCCATCTAGTGTACTCATTAGGGGTGTGAATATTTATTTTACATTGATCCAGGAGGTGATTTTGAATTCTGGAGCTCAAAAAAAAAAAAAAAAAAAAAGCAATCCAAAACAATAATCTATCCCTCCCTCCAGGTGTATGAGCACTGTCTTCTTGACCTGACCGTACAGAGGCTGATTGGCAACCTGTTTTCATGTATTTAGTGCCCTCTCATAAGAAGAGTACATCAGGAAAAAAATTTCAATGGCCAAAAAAATAGTATCTCCAACGTCTTCCCTAACTTGGGCTTAAATTGAACACCATGATTTACAGCTAACAAGTATGGCTAATATTGCCAAAGCCCTGTATTTAACCAAAAATGTTAATTGCAAAAGGACCACCGAATGCATTTTCATTCCCTTGCTGAAAAAAATAAAATAGTATTGTCTCCTTGGAACACACAGAAAATACTGTAATCCTTCTCCATCAGATTAGTAGTGAAAATCTTAGCCTGAATTTGTGCAGGCATTTATGCATGGTTTTGTTTTGCTTCTGACTGTTTGCTTTTATTAAGCCTTTACAGTGTTGAACATGTTGTAAAAGCTACCAACATCATTCTGATTAGTTGTCTTAGAGTATCCTCATTTATACATGAAGGGGTGTGTGTGTGTGTGAGGTTGAGGAAGAAGGATGAAATTTATTCACTTTTATTTATTCTCCTCAGTGATTCTGGTCTACTCTTAGCAACCCTAGATAAGTCATTACACCTTCCTTCTTGGTGGGATTATTATAATGCTAAATGGATTGTGAGCCATCTAGTGTACTCATTAGGGGTGTGAATACCTATTGTATCATGTAGAGGATTGCGTTTTGGTTATGTATTTCTAGTTACTGCATGCTTCTTTTTATTTCAACCTAATAACAGAATAAAGCAAATTTAGCTGATATCCAAGGTATTATGAAAATGTTGTTCACTTGGAAAGGTGATACACAATTATGTGATAATTATTAAAATATTTTAAATGTGATTTAACTAGAAGTTAGTTCATGACAATAATTGAAAACCCCAGAAGTGATTTTTTTTTCAACTTTTGTTTTTTTTTAACCCAATAATAATTTGATAGACAAGTCAAAAAACTTTCATGGGTAGAACGCATTATACCTTTCCCTAAAACACATTTCTAACTCATTAAAAATAGTCATTCTACACTAGGCCCTGTGACCCAAATGACCTGTCAGAGCAGTATTTCCTTTTCAAAAAGTTCCTCCTTTCAATCCATTCATTATATCTTTTCCCAGTATCATTTAAAAGGTTTGTCTTTGTTGTAGCAACTTTTAAAGAACAATATTGGTAACTTTGAAAGTTTGGGGTTAAGGTTTTCAGTTTATGTTCCTCTATATCTTGACACATGCAGCAATACTTCAAAATGCCAGGTAAAGTGGTAACATGCAAAGCATTTAGTTTTATTTCTGCTACTTTTTAGGCAAAACACACAGGTTATACAATATGATTTCTTAAAATTAAAAAATCTAATAGCAAAATAACATATTACTAGTCTCTCAAATATTTTATGGAGCTAAGACTTTAAGAAGAGGTGCTTAATTTACTTAAAGCTTCATATGACAGTGACTGGAAATTTGTGCTAAGTACTAAACCTGCCTTATTTATTCTCTGAATTCTTAGAATATACATTTTCAGAATTTACAATAGCCTGTTTTTCTAAGGATTAGGTTTCTCCAAATAAATTGTGTTTCTACATAATCAGTAGGAAAATATCTCTGTGCCATTATTCACAGGACCTTAATAAGATTATCTCATTTCTCTTAAATATTCAACTATACCCACTACTGTTAATATTTTCATTTTAATAATAATAATATACTGACTCATATCTATTTGTCTCTTATTGGACACCAGGGATATTTGATATTCCTTGAACACTGCAGTTCAATAGCAAACAAGTAGTGCCTAGTTACAAACTCTAAGTCATCTATGTTTGTCCATTAATGTTAGCTCTTTGAAGCCTGGGTAAATTGCCTGTATTTCCTGACACAGTTTGGCCTGTCCTCCCCCATGATCAAATACACTATTCATATAGAACAGAAAACCAAGGAATGGTAGCTAAAACTACAAGTTACAACATATACAAGCCTCAAAGGATTACTTCTAGAACTTGACTGAAAGAACTGAGCACATATCTGTAGATTCTGAAGCAGTCCTCTCCTGAAAGACCACAATTATTATGAATGTATAATCTCACTTGAATTCAGTTTGCCTACATTTCTTGTCTGAATGAAATGGCAGCATAAGACATAATTGAAAAATCAATTATTTTGAATGGGATGCATTTAATGAATTTCTTTTTATTTTAGGCAAGAAATTCTTCAGCATGTCGATGTAATAAAAAATTTTTCTTTGACCAAGAATAGTGTTCGGATCGGACAACTGATGCACTATGATTATTCCAGCCATAAATATGTTTTCTCTATTAGCAATAACTTCCGATCGCTGCTTCCAGATGTGTCACCCATTGTGAATAAGCATTATAACATCTGTGCTGTGGTCGGAAATAGTGGGATCCTGACAGGGAGCCGGTGTGGACAAGAAATAGATAAGTCAGATTTTGTTTTCCGTTGCAATTTCGCCCCTACGGAGGCTTTCCAAAGAGATGTTGGAAGGAAAACCAACCTTACCACCTTCAACCCCAGCATCCTGGAAAAATATTACAACAATCTTTTGACCATTCAGGACCGTAACAACTTTTTCCTCAGTTTAAAAAAGCTTGATGGGGCCATTCTTTGGATCCCTGCATTTTTTTTCCACACTTCAACAACTGTTACCAGGACATTAGTTGACTTTTTTGTTGAACACAGAGGTCAGTTAAAGGTCCAATTGGCCTGGCCTGGAAATATAATGCAACATGTCAACAGGTGTGTATATTTTATTGCCTTTAACTCATACCCTGCCAGATGGCAAATCAATATTGCAATCTCTTGGGGGTGGGACCTATCCCACTAGTGGTCAGCTTAGTACTTTAGGGCAGACTCTTATATTTTGTTGTGAATGAACTAAGCATTCTAGGTAAGGAGTTCTAAGTAAGAGGTTGAACCTCCTACCACGTGCCAAAGGGAATGACTGAGGAGCAGTCATGGAAATCACCACAAATCAAGCATTTGCTTTAAATGGATAGTTATGTCCCCCCAAAATGGCTAAATTGGACAAATCAAGTGGTTTTTTTAAAGAAGAGCCAATTAACTCAAAATGTCCTTTTTATTTGATGGTTGGGTGTTTTGGAGAAGTCCAAGATTAGCAAACCTCCCAAACCATAAATTGTATAATGTACCTTTATAATTTGAGATTTTGAGGGCTTAAAATATGTAAAAAGTACTTTTTGAAGTGCTTGTTGTCCCTTGTCATTTGAGAGACAGATGGACTAGTGATGCAGTATTTTTGTCTAGTTGATGAATCATAAGTCTGGCTATACATTAAGATCACATAGCTTTAAAAATATTGTTGCCTGGGCTCTACTTCAGGAGATTCTAATGTAATTTGTCTGGTCAGGGAGCAAAAGGGCCCAGGTATTTGGTATTTTCTAGCAACTCCCCAGAAGATTCTAATACGCAGTTACAATTGGGAACCTCTAATTAGTGACATTTTAAAATGCAAAATTACTTTAGGATTTTTTTTTTCCCTTTAAATATCCTGAATATATTGCCTCGACTCTAATTTCTCCTTTGAAAGTAGCCCCAAAGTTCTAACATAAAGTCCAAATAGTACTGCCAGTCAGACTGGGTTCTGGGTGGCCTAGTAAGCAGGAAATTCTAAAGATTTCTAGCCCATAGTAGATTATTCCCATCCTATAGTCCCTTATATTCTTCCAAGTGTAAGCTATGTTTAGTTGGCCTCTCACTGAAGGCGGAATCTAATAAACTGATGTGTGTCTAGCAGCTAGGATGAAGCCATAAGTTACAGTGCACACTGGAGCTTTCTTTGAGAGAAAGGGGCCACTAGTAATCATTACAACAGGGATAACAGACAACAGATATTTTTAAGAGGTTCTGTAGCCCAAAGCCTGAGCTTATGTCAACTGAGACACAACGTGAAGGAGTTCTTATACTACCCAAAATGGGCCAAATCAGCATTAGAAGCTCGGGCCCCTACCAATCTGTCCTGAGGTCTTTTGACCTCATCACTTTGATCCCCCTCTGGTTCTGATGAAGTTCAGCTGTACCAAAGGAATTGTCAGAAATCACTCTAACTCCTTAAGTAGGAAATGAAAACCAAGACTGAACTTCCAAATTTCAGCTGGAAGGGGTAAGATCCATCTTTGAAGCCTTCAAATAGTGAAGAAGGGTCTCGGTGGTTTTAGCAACTTCAGGAACTAGTCTGTGTGGCCTTTCAGAAGCAGCCCTTGGGGCTGACCACAATCCCACTGCCACTCAATTTGAACCAAAGAAACTGGTTGAATGAAGACTCGAAGGAAATATTGTCCATAGAAATCTGATTCATAAACAAGTTAATTCCTCCTGCACAGCCAGTGATAACACACACACCACCCAGAGCAATCGCAAATATTTGACAGTGTGGGTAGAAAGGCTTCAAATTACTAAGTGGAGAGGAACAATCAGCTTTATTTAGCTTTTCTGAATTCATGAAGTATGCAGATACTTTTCTTAGGTCCTTGGAAGGCTAAAGAAGGACTTGGACCCCCCTCATTGGAAAATAAAGAAGCAGCAAGTATGATTTTTTTCTAAGAAGATGGAGAAAAATAAGGCCCCACAGTCTTCCCAAGCCCAGGAAGGATTTAAATTATAGGCTTTGGTATGGAAGAAACAGAGGGGCCCCTTAGATTAAGCAACCTCCTCCACATAGCCAAGGGCTCTGCTCTTTATCTATGAGAATGTCACTCTGTGCCACCACTACCGAGTCAGAGGCCCCCCTCTAGGGCAACCCAGGGCAGGGCTGGCCTCAGATGGGCACACCTGTGCAGTCACGCAGGCTCCAGGGCTCAGAAAGGCCCAGCACATGGTTTAATACTCTGCCGGTGCCCTCTCAGAAGTCTCAGTAATTTTCAAAGGAAAACCCAATTTTCATTTTGCACCAGGACTCACAAATCCTGTAGCTGGTCCTGCCCAAAATGTCATGTGGGCCAAAAGTCAGATTCTGAGCAAGCAAGGCCTGTTTGAGTTCTGTAGACACATCCACCCCTCAGGCTAGTCCCATTGACCCATCTGATGGAAACATTCAGCACTGGCCTCTGAATCCACCTGTACTTATTGTTCCACAGGTACTGGAAAGACAAACATTTGTCACCCAAACGGCTGAGCACAGGTATCCTTATGTACACCCTGGCATCCGCAATTTGTGAAGAGATCCACTTGTATGGATTCTGGCCTTTCGGATTTGACCCCAACACCAGGGAAGAACTTCCGTACCATTACTATGACAAAAAAGGAACCAAATTTACCACCAAGTGGCAGGAGTCCCACCAGCTGCCTGCTGAGTTTCAGCTGCTGTACCGAATGCATGGGCAAGGCCTGACCAAGCTGTCCCTGTCACACTGTGCCTGAGAACTCTGAACAGAAAGTGCCAAAAGGCTGTTTAAGAAGTGCCCCAAGTCAAATTGAATAGTCTTCAGAATAGAACCCTAGAGAATTTCTTATAAGGATGGTCTGCCATTTAAAAGGAAAGATGTCTTCTCTCCCTCTTTGCACGGCTCTTTCGAGGGTCCTAGCAGGACAGAGGCATGGAAGCCACATGGTTTCAACTTGGTTGATAAAGGGGATGTTGCGTGTGGAACTCTGCTGCTACTGAAATGGTTTGAAGTATTTTCATGTTTGTATTTTAATAATAAACTGCCTCCCATTTTTTTTAGGAGGACTAGAGCTGTAGTTGCTGCAGCTTTGCTCAGAAACAGTCCTCATAACCAGAGGCTTCTGGCCAATTTGGGCAGGATCTCAGTTTTGCTTGGGTGGGATCAGACTCTTCAAAATGGAAACAGAACATATGGTTTGCATCTCCCCCATCTCTCCCTCTCCCTCCCTTCCCGTCCTCCTTCCCTCCAGCCTCCAAACCACTCCTCTTACCCCACCGCCGTGGAGTTTAATCATTTTTCTAGGAATCATATTGAACTAGCTTTGCTTGTGTGTGCTGCATCTGTACTTGATGTGTTCAAGGCTCTGGGTAACTTTGATATTTCATGACAAACCGAGCAAATCATGACAGATCCTCTTATGACTACTGTTGTAAGAAATGCCTCTTACGAAGTCCTCACTCATCCATGCAGTCATTCTACAGCAGAGCGGGCCCTCCATGGAGAGTGGCATGGAATGTAATGCATCTTTCCCTGTCCCAAAGAAAGCCTGTGTTGTGGGTGGTAGTCTCCTGGTGTGAGAGCTATTATGGCACTGTCACTCTGTTTGCCACACCTTGGAGGGCTTTCCAGCCCAGCTTAGTGCTTGGCACTACCACAACCTAAGACGGGGCTGTAAATTCTCTCTCAGATTATAAAGGCAATGAGCCCGTTTAAGAGCCTGAGACTTACAGAGGAAAAGGAAAGAGTTGTGTTTAGAAGTTGTGATGGATCCTCATTACCCTCAAGCGTTATAATCATGTTGCCCACTCAGAATCTTTGAGAACCACAGGGCTAGAGCACTGTGGAAGCATTGGTTGGCCTGGCCAGGCCAGGCCACCATGTGAATAATGCAAGGTGATGCCATTTTCAGTGCTATGTGTCCAGAACCATTTGTTCTCTTTCAGACAACTGTAGACACTGCATATTCCCTCTACAAATAAAGTATTTCAAAAGGAAGAGCCGTTGTATAGTGGCAAGATCTGGGTTACTATCTAACCCTGGAAGTTGAGATTTGTGGACTGGCCATGAACTAGTTGACCATTCTCTTTTTCATTACTTCAGTCTCAGGAGTAGAAATTACATCACTCTCATCTCTGGCTTTTCACTGAGCAGCACTTTGTTCTTCCAGTTGAGCCCAAAGTCTGGCCAAGTTGATGTTAAATTTTAATAAGAGTTTCTTTCTTCTTTCCAAATGCCAGTCAAGCACATTTGTAATACATTTGGGTGGGGTAGCTTGTTCTTTTCCAGAAAATCTCATCTATATTGCTTGCAAATACTATTTAAAATGATTGCTGGAGTCCAGTAGTCAGCTCCCGGTCCCTCTTTGGGAAGGTATAATCATGCCTAAAATTAAACCAAATGCAATAAGGAAAGATACAGTCCTATGCACATGTTCTGCTCGGTCCTAAAAGAGAGCTCTCCTATTCTGTTTGGTTTGTTTTGTTTCCATAAAGCTCATCAGAGCAGCTTATGTAGGTCCAGATATTAGCAAATGACAGGGAAACCATGCAGGTTCAATGTCACCAATTGCGGACACATATTCCGCCCCGTATGAAAGGCAGTCACCCATATGCATGGGAAGAAATAGGAATAGACGTTTCAGAATGGGAAATACTGAAACAGCTCAGTACTTGAAATCACAGGAAAAGGAGTAATCAAAACATCTTTAAATTCAATGGTGGAACTGGATGGGCGTCAACACCACACCATGTTTGTTCCCCTTCACTTTAAAGAGGACGGGACTTTAGTCCCTGTGCTGTGCTCTGTTAGGATCACTGATAACTGACAAGAGTTCCATTGGCTCTTCCTAAGCACTTAGTACATTTGGTTACAGCAAAGTGATGTTCATGCCAATACTACATTGGCCAGACTCTGACTCTGGAGTTTTCATCCCTGTGTGCCCATTAGATTTCACTAAATATGAATGTATCGACACTTTAAACCAGGCAGGTTAAAAGAGCAAAAGACCAGAATTCCTGAAGCCTGTTAGTTGTGCTATGGTGGACGCTTTAAATTAGATCTCATTATTGTGCCAAGTTTGTTGGTTGGTTCCCCCCCCCCCCCAGTTCAGGGAGATTTTTTTAAATCTCATTTCATTCTTGGCTCCATCTTAACTTCAGAGGGAGGACATTTCCATCATCTAATAACATTTCATCTATTACTTTAACAAGAACTCAAAATGTTGAGGAAATGGACTTGTCTCCCAGAACTCAAAGGACTCAGAGATCAGGTTCATCCCTGGTTTTCAGGCAGGACTTCCTGTAGTTGATCCAGAAAAACCACCCTTCGCTTTTCTTTAAAAATCTCTGAAGCAAATGCCAAGCCCTCCCATAGCAGTTGCCCACAATTCCCATAATGTATAAATTCTTTATATGTAACATAGAGCCCTCCCACTGCAAAAACTAGAGGTGATGTGTAGGCAAATAATTTATCCACGTTTCGGTAAATAGATCTTGTACTAGTATTTTTATTGTTAGTAATGTCTTAGACCTGCAGTTCTAGCATAAAGAAAAAAAATGCTTCTAGCTGATCATACAAAGTTTTTGTTTGTTTTTAAAGATCACTTCAAAGATTAAATCTAATTAACATCGTCACAACCAGAAGAATCGGTGGGTCCTATAAGTCCTGGTTAGAAAAGTGACAATATAAGTAACAGAACTTCCTGGGCTGTGTGCTCAAAGGCAGTATCTGGGTGAGACAGGACCCCTTGGTACCCCCCCTTCCTGATTCAACTATAGAGAAATACCTCAAGCCTTTGCATTGGGCTTGTGTATTGGTACAAGGCTAATAAATGCATCCTTTGGTTAGAACCTTTCCTTTTCGAGGATACAGCAGACTCCGTCCTCAGCTATTGGAACAAACCCCCTTGGTAAATCATAATACAGTTACTGATGGCTGACAACTGGGATCATATCCAATAATCTATTCATCCCAAAAAAACCGTGTTTTAGTAACATGTGTGGGTAGTTTCAAGTGGGTGTCTACATATGACACCGATACAAATGACCCACTCAGTTGCAGGGGATAAAACCCCACACATATCTAGCAACCTGTTTAATGCCAGCCCCTCACTGTTCATTGGTTACTCTGAATGTCATGTGCAAACATGTAGATCCAGAGTAGACAGATTTAAAATGTTATTCCAAGAATTCCTCCCATAGTCAGAAATCTTGCCCATATTTGATAATTAATTAAAATGCCATTGGTTCCTCTGCCTTTGCTTCTGTGTCTTAAATGTCCTCAACCATTGTAAAAGTGCTATGCATTTCATAGTGCCACATGCCTAGCAGTGCTGTGACTACTGAGCCATCTGTCTGTGACCTTGGCATCGGCACTTATCCATGGGGCTACCAGCCAGGATGTGCAAAGCTCCCTCAGCCTCTCTGGTCTGGCCTCCAGTTATTCAGGAATGTGACTGCCGAACTAATGTAATCTGCCAGCAAAACTAAGGAATGGAAGAGCATTTCTTCCGACTTTGGGCAAGGCATTAATTATTAGACATTCCCAGATAGCAAAGAGGTGTTGACCAGAGGCCAAGAGTAGCAGGGACAGAATCATAGAACCCTGGGACACTGGAAATAGAAGAGCCATTGAGTTTCTCTAGTGCTAATTCTTGACTTTACAAATGAAAAGTGGAGAAGCAGAGAATAATTTTCTCAAGATCGCATAGGTAATCAGTGGAGAAATGACTCCTCGTTTAGTAATTCTGGCCACAAATGATCATAGATGGGATCAAAGGGAAAGTGATTTTGGTCTGAGGTCCACAAGGCAGGCACAGAAAGTAAAATAAGTTAGAAAAACTGTAGAGGAGGAACATTATTCGCCCTCCCTCCCTCAAAAAAAAAAATTCTCAGTGCAAAACAGTAACAGGAAGTGCCTGTTAATATTGTCCCCTGGAATGAAAGAAAACCTCCTTGGTAAATCATGGTTATGGTTAATCACAGTTCAGTGACTGACAGTTTACAGTTGACACTAGAATCGTATCCAGTGATCCCCACTTCTTAATAAAATCTTGTTTTCTTAACACGTATGCATAATTTGAAAGTCAAATACTAGGAATTGTTATGTACTTCTCCGTATGCGTAATTTTTAGCAGGGGTCCTTTGAAGTAAGAAATACCTTTGGCAATGCCTTCCATGTCATAAGTAACTTCAACAGCAAACCTTGTGTTATTGCATTTAGCTCAATATGCTAAGGTGTACAAATACTAATGAATAATTTGGTCTGGGTCTTTATGTGCAAAGTGACAGTTTGAGCAACTTTCTGTGTAATTCTGGATCCTTAAATCCTTTTTCCCAATTGTTTAAATGTGTTAGGCAAAAGTATCTATCTATTGTTACTTCTACTTCTCCCTGGATGTGTGTCACTGTCCTTTTGCTAAAAAAGAGATTTGGGACTGTGTGCATGTGCCTGCAAAGCACAGATGGAACACCAAGGTGCCAGGGACTCAGTGCCTGGGCCACCTGACTGACCTGGCTGGGCTCTGTGCCCCAATTTGTCAAGGCCACGGGTGAGTTGATTCCAAGAACCATAATGACTAAATATTTCCCCTTCCCGCTCTGCTTTGCAACATAGATAAAACCATTTGAAATGGAAAACGTTTTAGAATGTTATTAATTGTATTATGCACTATTTCTTAAAATTCCTTTTTATTGTAATGACATTATCAAGTTCTGTGTGTTTGAATAGATGTTTTCATCCTCGGTGAAGCTCATGCTCTTGTTCTTGATGACAGTGGAATCATAGTGACGAGCCTGTCACAGAATAACTGAGTCCAACTTGAGATTACAGTGGGGTCACAAGGTTAGGATCTGGATTATGCTGCTGATCCACTGGCAAACAAAGCTGTATAACATGAGGAGCTCTTTAAAATACAATCTTTGCTTCCAACCCCAGACCTTTGACTCAGAATGTCCTGGGATAAGGCCAGCTTGCAAAGATTCCCAAGTGATTCTGATGTGGCCAGCAGTGGGGAGCAGAATCCTTAATACTTTAGGTAGCAAATTCATATGTGTCCTTAGGATCAAAGTAGCTGAATGCTCTCACTCCCCAACCAATTAGTATGAGATCTGTTTCTTGACATTATCATGATACATGGCAATAGAGACACAGTGTTAGTGATTCTGCCATCAACTGTTCTGACTCAATGATCCAGTCACTAAT